AACAACAGCAAACCACCAGTAAAGGAGCTCTGGTAGTGTAGTGGTTACGAAACGGGCTGTGAACCGGAAGTTTCTACCAGCTGTTCTGTGGGAGAAAGATGAGGCTTTCTGCTCCCCTAAAGATTTACAGCCTCGGAACCCTGTACAGGGTTACTATGAGTCAGAAGCTACTCCATGGCACATAATGGCACCACCACCACCATCAGTAAACCTTTCAAGAGTAACATCTTCATATCGGAAAGCACCAATACCTGGTTTTTCCAACTTAGCTTGTTGTTCTAATTGTTGTATAGGACTGTGTTGTTGTTGTTAAGTGCTGTGGAGTCAGTCCTGACCCATAGCGACCCTGCATAGGGTTTCCAAGGAGCGACGGGTGAGCTTGAACCAGCAACCTTGTGGTATAAACTGACTTTGCAGTCCAGCACATTAGCCCACAGCGCCACACTAGCAAACCAACTCTGATATCGTGTGACTTTACTTACATATAGAAGGTGTTGCTGTTGTTTTATGGCTATTGTATCTACTTGTTTGCTTGACTTAAAGAATATGGTGGGAGGGCTTCAAAAAGTCATCGAAAAATGGAATCCAAAGATAATTGTATTTTCCACAAACTTTTTGAAGCCCTCTCTTATTTGTTTTTTCCTTTGTTTCAGATGGATTCGCGTGTCCTGCCTAGGTATAGTTTTGCTTTTTTTTTTTTTAAATTAACACACAATATGGTTTACTTTTATGTATTTATGTGTACAGTTTTATGTGTAAACATCATTATCATTAAGATACAGGCACTTCTATCATCACCAAAAATACACTTATGTTATCCCTTTAGAGGGAGTGCTATAGGATAACTACAAGATCGGCGCAAGGTCGGAAGCTGGGAGTCCACCAGCTGCTCCACAAGAGAAAGATGAGACAATCTCGGGAACCCTATATAGAGGTCGCTGTGAGTCAGATGGACAACATGGCACTTAACAACAACATCCCTTTAGAGTCACAATCTTCCCTCACCCCTACCTCGGGCAATTCCTGAGCACTTCTTCACTGGTCTATCCCTTATCATGTTGGGTGCCATAACATCAGCAAATCTCCTTATTCTGTGGATACCATAACCATAGTATCATTTCCATTTTAAAGGCAAAGAAACAGAACCATAGGAAATTAAGTAACTTGCCCAAAGTTAGTGCTTGGCACACCTAGCCACTTGAAGAGGGAATCCTGGTGTAGCACTGCAGGATAAACAGTAGATTGCTAACCATAAGGTCGGTGGTTCAAACCTCTGCAGGGAAACCTTATTCAGGGTTGAGTCAAAACGACTCAACATCATTTAACAGTTTCTGAAGAGCACATAGGGTGCTCTGAAGGTGCCAAAATGTTATCCATATAGCAGGCACCTCGTGTGTCCCAAACCCTTCCTTTTTTTTTCCCTCCCCACTCCGCCCCCCTACCCCCATCCCCAGCTTCTAGTTTAGGAACTATGAAGACAGGATGTGAATTTCCAAACTGACCTTGGACAATTTACTTCAGACTTTCAAGTTCCTTATCTGCTCCAAAAGGAGTTTGAAATGACAAGACTTCTCTTTGCAGTATGTGTGTGCATGTGTGCGATGGGGGCGAGTAGGTGTTGGGGCGGAGGTTTCCCCAGGTCTCCACAGGAAACAAGGTGCTTTGAAGTTGTGTCCTAACAATCTCTCCTAGGAGTCGGACCCCAGATCAGTGAGGGCGCTCAAGCTTGGCTCTTCCTCCTAAAATTGTGAAACAACAGCCACTGGGGCCAGCCTTCAGCCAGAGAGCCGCCCAGAGGTGTAGGGTGGGTCTTTCTTTCCTCTCTCACCGTCCCCGCCCCCCCCCCCCAATTCCCATCCCTGAGGGTGTTAGGGATGAGGATGTATCCTCAGGTAGTCTTCTTGGATGCAGTGGCAGCTGAGTGAGTCCTGAAGGTCTTCCAGTTAGTAAGATGGGGAGGGGGAAGGGTTAGGGACCCCCCCCTAACCCCACCCTCCACTTCCCCAGAACAAAGAAAGCAAGCCTGACAGTATAGGAGGAGGAGCTGTGTGGGTGGAGGCCAAATCACGCAGGGTCTTCAGAGCTTGGCTTTATTCTAAGAGCAATGGGGAGGGGTTTGAAGTCAGTGAAGGCGTGTAATGAAGAGTTTTAGCAAGACTCTTCTAGAGCCATATGGGAAGAAAGGGTCGGAGGGGGACAGGAGGTGATCACAGGAAGCAGTCCGTTTAGAACGGAGGACTGAGGAAGGGGTGTGTGTGTGCGCATCTGAGGCCTTTCTCAATTCCCCGCGTCACTGTGAACAATTCCTAGGCATTCTTTGCTAATGGAGAAGGGTCCGGTAAAGAACTGAGCACCACCAAAAACTCGTGATGGAGAATGGTCCAGCGTCTAGATGCTCCAAAACTGATAGCGGGAGGTAGGCCAAAGATGGAGAACCGTTACCCCTCAAAAGCACACACAAAAACCCTCGACCGCTTTTGGCAGCAGCCTCCTCCACCCATGACCTCATGCTTTAAACTCCCATATAGCCTTCCTCCGCCCTGTCCACACCCAGCGCCCTACTGGTGGTGGGGCGGGGGTGGAGGGCAGTGTCTTAGACCCCGACAGAAGATTAAGTATCCGCGCAAGCTTTGGGGGTGGGGTAGGGGTAGGGGCAATGATTTCTCGCACTAAAAAACAAAACAAAACAAACCATCATTTAAGGTTCCCTTGTGCAAATACTCGCTGTCTTGAGCTGCCTCGAACCCGCTCTAAGTGGTCTGTTTAGCCGAACCATTTTTGGTTCACGTTTCTTCGTCTAGGAGAGAAGCCTGGAAATGCAGGGGTGTGTAAGCGCACCTGGATGGACAGGCAACCGCGCCTTCGCGGGACTTCGAGCTGTCCTCCCCTAGCCGCCGCAAGGTTTGAACTCTTGGCTCGGGTTTCCACCCGCGCCCTGCCCCCTGCTCGCAGCTGCTCTCGGTTTGGGTGCAGCGGTTTCCCCCGCAGAGCAGGAGGTGGAGACCGCTGGAGGGAGCGACTCCGGGCTCGGGTTTCCGCACCAATGCTGAGCAGCCCCGGGCGGCCTCCGGCGGCCGTCCCTCCTCCCCGGCACCACGTTCCACAGTCATGGCGCGCGAGGAGGGGCGAGCGCGGGCCGCGGCGGCACCCGCGCCCCCTCCCCTCCCTCCGCCGCCAGGCCCCTCTCCTAGGCAACCTCCTTCCCTGGCCGGCTGCGCCGAGATGGAGCCCCCTCCCCAGAGAGCTGCATTTCCAAAGCTGTCTGTTGCACCCCCTCCCAGCCCCCATTGGGGTGGAGGGATGAAGTGCGCTTCTCCAGTCCCGAGCCCCAGCTCCTCTCCAGCCCAACGGAAGCCGGGGTGCGGTAGAGGCTGGCGCAGGCGATCATCCCGCAGCCCGCCTAGGCCTATTATATTTGTAATCCCCTAAAAGAAAACAAACAAACAAAACAACAAAACCCCAAACAAACCCTAACCACCGTCGTTAGATTGCAAAAGCGCGGTACAACAACCGGGATGGCTACGCAGGAAGCAATCTTGCACCGGCCCTGGTCTAGAGAGCAGCTTCCCGGCCACGCCGCCGTCTCCCGGGCCTCGATTTTCCGGCCACGCCAGAGTCCGCACCTCGGGGCCGACTGACAGGTCCCGCGCCAAGCTGCAGCGGGGCTCGTGACCCCCGCCCCATTCTCGATCTGAGGCTCACTAGCGTACAAAAGGTGCAACCTCAATCTATTTAGAACACACAAATAAAGTCGGCAGTGCCTAGCTAGCCAGGCTGCAAACAATGCACTGGCCGGCCTGCGCCATCCCCAGCGCGGCGCCCCGGGGGGCAGGCGGCGCGGGCGGGGGCCGCGGCGGAGGACCGGCCGGCCCGCCGCGGCGCTGGACACCTTACTTCCTGCTTCCCCGCCTGCTGGCGGACCCAGCTCTGCGGAGGGATATCTCTCCCCTCCTCAGTCTCTCTCCCTCCCTTTCCCCGCCCGCTCCCCTTTTTTGCTCTTGCTCCCCCACCCCCACCCCGCCTTTCTCCTTTTGCTAGAAAATAATTTGACAGTCGATTTGCTGACAGGGGAGGAATTTGCATCCTGGATTAAAAAAAAAAAAAAAGCAGAGAGGAGCTTGGGAACGGTTGCTAGGGGTGGGTAAAGGGTGAAAAAAGGGGGGCTCTGGGGACCGGCAAGGGAGGGTTAAGGAAGGGGGACGAGGGTGGAAATGAATGCAAAAGGTAAGGCCAGGTTACCACCGCTCAGCCCCGAGTGGGCTGCGGCCGGGGGAGGGGCGAGAGATACATATGTATTTCTGTTTCCCCAGCACACCCCCTTCCCTCTCTAAGCGAAGGCTGAGAGGCGGTGCATGCAGATGGGGAGTAAATTTCCTGAAGGGGAGGGTGGGTGCTCGCGCGCTACCCGGCGCTGCAAATTTCCACCGGGGAGGGCGAGTAGCTGGATGCGGAGAGTTTGGAGTTGCTTGCGGCGGAGGGCAGGAAGGGGAGCAGGGCCGGGAAAGGGGGTTGGCTGGCGCTATATCTGGGAGTAAGTTTCCAGGATCGGGAGAGCCAGCACGCTTGCTTGCTAGTAAGTTTCTGGCCGGGGATGGCGCTTGGGGAGGAGGAGAGGGAGGGGTGCGTGCATATAGGAGGGGGGAGGGGGGAGCAGATTTCCTGCGGGGAGGCTGAATGCATATGGAGAGTAGATTTCCTGAAGGGAGGGTGGAGGCGTAGACGGACCGAGTAAGTTTCTTGCTGGGGTGGTGGCGGAGGTGGTGGTTTAGTGCTTTGGAAGCCTGGAGCTTCTACTGGGGAGTGGTGGTAGGGGAGCCCGCCGTTTGTGTTGGAGGGGCAATCGCGAGGGGCCAGGTTCCCTGCTGGGGAGAGGGGCTTGCATCTGGGGAGTATGTTTCCTGGCGGAGCGATATTTGTTTACAGGCTGAGGGCAGTACTGTAAGTGAGTAGCGCTGCGAGAAGGCGGCTCTGACATAAATTAATATTGAAATTACTCCATCAGATCTGCTCGCCCCCCACCTCACCCCCCCAAGCGGAGACCGGTCTTCTTTTCGGATTGCCCATGCACTTGTTGCAGAGACAGCCAAGGTAAGCAAGAAGCTTATTAAGTTTCATTAAAAAAAAAAAAAAATTAGTTGGGGGATGCTCGGTGAAAAGACAGGGGGGGAGGGAAGAAGTGGGGGACGGAGAAGGAAAAGTCTCCCCCCTTTCTTTACTTTCAGTATGCAAGCAGGGCCTTCTTCTCCCAGCTTCCCTCTTTCCTCTTTAGGCTGCACAGCATCCTAGCACGGAGGAGGAGTGAGGTGGGCGCTATCGTTGGCAGCCCCCGCTTGTAGGGTGGTGGTGGTGGGTTTTGCAATTGAAGGCTGTGATGTTATAAAGCCTTCATTCTTCCAGTCAAGAAACCGCAGGACCCAGGAGATGTGCCTTTTTTTTTTTTTTTTTTTTTGACATGATGCATATGTGTATGTATTTGCGCCTGCGGGCTCTGTGGGGGCTGGGTACCCCCCAGAAGTTAGTGTGGCCACCCAGATGGGAGAAAAGGAGTGTGTAGGAGATAAACCCCTTCAATCCTTAACTTCAGTCTGGGAGACTGGGAAGTTACTCTTGGTGGTCTGAAGAAATAGATATTTAAAGAGAAAAGAAAAGAAACACCCACTCACCGGCAGAGGCCCAGAGCACCTGGCTGGCAGCCTCTGGCCAGCGCTGGGCGGTAGCATGTGCGCGTGCCATCCTTAGGTTAAAAGAAAACGCCTTCTTGTTTCTCCGAGTGCCTTCAACCGGCCTGGTAGAGTCAGCTTTGGGGATACTCATCCCACACTAGACTCAGCTTTGGCAAGTGAACGTGTTGAAGCGGGTTGCTAGCAGCGTGGCCTGGACTGTGCTTGTGAAGTACATGGAAGTCATGCTTAGGAATGACGGATCAAGGATGATGGCTGAAGAGTTCTTTTAAAAATGCCACCTGAAAGCCGGGTGCGAGTGCACTTTTCTGCAAGCCACGAAAGAGTGCTTTAAAAAGGAGTTTTAAATTGTCCATTTGGTACCAGCCTTCTGCGTCAAGAGTCTGGTGATGAAAAATGTGGCTTTAATGACCACTGAAAGGATAATACTCAGCACTTAACTAGTTAACCTGCCTCGCCTTTCCTCATCTTTCCTGATCCTAGCCTGCCAATATCTGCAGATGGATTGTGAGTCCTGTCTTTCAGGTACCCACCTTTAATGGTACTGGGAATTTTAACTTTGCTTGGAGGGTTGGAGGGTGTAACCCAGAGATGGTAGGGAGTAAACGCAAAGCAGCAGGGTCAACCAAAGTTGGTGAAGCTTTTCAAAGTTCTGAGGTCTATCGGTTATAAAAAAATTAGTTTAAAAAGCCCAAAATATCCCTACATGCTGTTAATGAACAGTGCTCCCCCACCTCCATCAGTTCTTCAGATTGAGGGTTTGATATTCCACAGTTTGAAAGTTGATTTAGTTGAAAATAAACATTTTTCCACTGATCAAATGTTCCTAACCAAGCATTGTTGTTGTTGTTAAGTGCCATCGAGTCGGGTCCGACCCATAGCGACCCTGTACAGGGTTTCCGAGGGTGTAAATCTTTACGGGAGTAGAAAGCCTCATCTTTCTCCCGCGGAGCGGCTGGTAGTTTCGAACCACTGACCCTAAGGTTCGCAGCCCGATTCGTAACCACTACGCTACCAGAGCTCCTTATATATGCTGGTAGGGTAAACAAAATCTTTATGTTGTTGCTTTTGTTAAGTGCTGTTGAATCAGTTCTGACTCTTAGTGACCTTGTATAGGGTTTCCCAGCCTTTAAGTCTTTGCCTGAGCAGAAAGCCTCATCTTTCTCGCCCCGGAGCGGCTGGTGAGCTCGAACTGCCAACTCTGTGGCTTGCAGTCTAGTGCTTATTGTTTGGAGCCACATGTCTAACCTCGAAGCCACTAGCATTTATTCAGGTTTCCCTTATATTTATGAGATTTATTTTATTGTTTTCCTTTGGCCATTAATCAAGACACAGGAGCTTTTCTCCCCCTTTTCTACAGAGAATGTTCTTGTAATAAAGATTTGAAGGCTCATGAATCATAATTCACTCCTTTAAAAAAAAAAAAAAAAAAGAAACAGAAAACATTGTGGGTATTGTCAGGATTTGATTTATAGGAATTGATACCCGGAGTGACACACCTCTTTGAGCCCCGCCCTTTGAAACATGTCCATTTTTGCCAAAGGATTGTGTAGAAACCAGCTTGACATCTCAAAAAAAAGTGCTTCTTTTCTGCCCTATAGGTTCTGCAAAGATGAATTTTACAGGTTTCACAGTAAACACGGGTCTTTTCACAGCTTGGAAGCAGACTTCCACATAGCAGGCATGTGTTAATATCACATAGCATTTATGTGAGCTTGCTGTGAAAACAGTTGTTCTATGAACTGTGTGGAAAGTACTCAGTTTTGCCGTCTTTAACCTGTGTGGGCTTGTGTTTTTTGCTGAGTTTGGAGCTTTAATTGTATAAGAGGGGACAATATTTTTTTCTGTTTATATAATGCTATATAAGAAAATGCATGGTCATAAAAACAAAGCTTATTTATAATGTTCTTTTTCTTCTTTAGCGGGAAAATTGGTCATAATAATAAAAAACACTGGTTTATTGGAAAAAAATAAGAATTCTCCATAAAGTTGGTTAAATCAGGAAGTGTTAAAATGATCTTCCATTCATTCAGAAGTTGGCTTAAGTTGGTACAGTATTTATAAAGTTGGCAAAGAACTTTTAAGGTGGTTTGATGCTGCAGGCAGGGGGGAAATATGTCATAGGAAAAGAAAGCAGAAAAGGAGAGGGTACTGGTTTACAGCCATTCTGGGCTAGAGATTGTTCTTTCTTTTTTTTTAAATCCTTGGTTTCATTTGCAAGTTCCCGTCTAACTCTGAAATTCTGTGACTCTCTGACTGAGGAGAGAGGTCTCAAGAGTCTCTTCCTGGGCCAACGGCCAAATTGCTTCATGGATTTGATGGGTTGATTAACTTCTGTTTCTGTCTTCTCATGGAGAGAGTGGATTTGTATGATGGCATTCCAAAGAGGACCTTGAGTAACCTGGTAACCTTGACTGTCAAATGCAATAAAATACATATAAAAGACGGTCTTAGTCTTGGGGGGAAAATGTGTTGATGGATTCCCAATTGTATGTGCTATTAGAGACTGGAACATTTAATCTCAGAAATTTCAAAAATTTCTGTTCATCTTGGAAGGGTCTCCTCCAGCCAATTGGTTTACCTGTTAGATTATGTTTTGGTCAAGTCTAAGGTTGATTAAGCTGTCATTCCAAGGCAGCAGAAGGAAGTAGCATTCAAGAAGCATGGGAGACCAGAAAGCCCAGTGTGGCTTTAACCCACTTTCTGTGAAGAATTCCTGTGTGGGTAATTGGGATTTGGTTTATCTTTGTGATACTGTTCATTACTATTCATAGCAATGATATTTTATTACTGTCACTTCTGGAATATCGTGTTTCACTGTGGCCATTTTTGGGAAAGCTCCTGATGTTTTTATTGACTTTGAACCCTGACATGAAAAGTAAGGATCCAGACACATGGCTTAGATTAACCCGGGAGGTATAAGCGGTGCTGATTGTCCTGCTCTAAAGGCATTGGAATTCAGTTCATTTGATTTCTGACCTCATAAAACTGTGTAGCTGAGGGAGGAGAGGGGAGGATTGGAATCAGCTGGGATGTTGTGGCATAATGACATTTTTGAATTTGCATGTTGGAGGGAAACCAATCAAATGTAGGGGAAGCTGAAGCATAGTTGATTTGTGGGGAAGGAGAGACAAGGAAACAGGATTCTTGTTACTGCCGTGCTTTTCAACTAGGGGCCTGTGATGTATTTAAGGAATTGTATAATCCAGAATGATTAAAGATGAGGTGTTCTGCTCCCATAAAGATTTACAGCCTCAGAAACCTTGTTCAGGGTCGCTATGGGCCGGAACTGACTCCATGGCACTTAACAACAACAACAACATAAGCCACAAAAGTGGGCTCAAACATGTGAAGATGGCTCAGGATGAGGCAGGGTTTCGTTTTGTTATGCATTAGATCTCTTTGAGCTGGAGCCACTTGATGGCAACTAGCAACTACATCATAGTCTTAGTTGCAAAAGCTTGACACATAGCTAAATAATTCTTTTCTTCTGGGGTAAAGAACATATACAACAAAAGCCCTGTGATATTTTCAAAGAATTCTTAAATTCTCAAGATAGATTAAAAGACAAAATGGGGTCTTTTGTTTAATTTGGGCTTACTAAGGAAATGGAGCCCTGGTTTGGCGCTGTGGATAATGCACTGGACTGCAAGGTTGGTTTGAACTGTAAGGCTGGTGGTTCAAGCTCACCAGCTGTTCCTCGGAAACCCTGTACAGGGTTGCTATGAGTCGGAACCAACTTGTTGGCACTTAACAACCACAACAACAGAGGAAACAGATGATTTTTGCTTTTCCTCATGGAAGACTATAGGCTGGGGATGGGATGGGATATACTAAGCTGTTGGGACGTTGTACAGCGACATTAATTTAATTAAATTAAATTTTTTAGGAGAGGAAGGAAGAAAAGAGCAATGATAACCCTGGGCTTGAACTAGGCAGCAGTTAGTTTTCAGACCTTAAGCAACCCTGATTTATTCATTCATATTTATTTCACACCTACTCTTTGCCAGGTACAGTGGTAGGCTCTGAGAATACATTGATCATTAAAAACATAGTCATCTCCCTTGAAGTCCCTGGATGATGCATTTACGTGTTCAGCTTGGCAGTGTGAATCCATCCACCCAGAGGCTCCTGGGAAGAAAGTCTTGATTTACTTCCAGAAGAATAAAACAAACAAATCTGTTGCTGTCAAGTCAGTTCCAACTCATCACAACCCTATAGGACCGAGTAGCATTGCCCCAAAGGTTTTCCCAGGTTGTACTCTTTCTCCCATGGAGCTGCTGATAGGTTTGAACCACTGACTTTCTGGTTAGCAACTGAGCTATTAACTAGGATATCACCAAGGCTCTTTTTCAAAGATCAAAGCCATTAAAAACCCGATGGAGTATAGTTTCTACTTGGACACAC